GACCCCCCCCCCAGCATCTACGCTCCCCACGCCACCCCTCCTCCCCGCCTCACGCATGCCGCTGCTAGACCCACCGCCAGCATCCATGCTCCACACGCCGCACCTCCTCCCCCCCTCACATTTGCAGCTGCTAGACCCGCCCGCCTGCATCCGCGCTTCACACGCCACACTGCCTCACACTCACTGCCCGCCCACATCCACAATCGGTACAGGGACGCGGGGAGAAGGAGAAGTAAGGAGGAGCAGGCGTGGGGGGATGACAGACAGGCCTGATCTCAGAAGCAAGTTGCTGGAAGACTGCTCAGGTAAGCCTGCACTTCCCTCCCCCCCACATGGTGCTCTATAATGTATTGCTGGGATTTGTATTCCTCTATAGCTGATGGTACATTGTGCTGTATATTATACATAGGAATACAAATCCCAGCAATACATTATACACTGTATGTATAATGTACTATTGCTGGGATTTGTTGTACTCCTCTATAGCTTGTGGTATTCTGCAGTGCGCTGTATAGAGGACTACAAATCCCAGCAATAATATATTATACAGCGCAATGCAGAATAGCACCACCAATGGAGGAGTACAACAAATCCCAGCAATAGTACATTATACAGCGCAACACAGAATACCGCCAGCTATAATGTACTATTGCTGGAGGTATTCCGCATTGCGCTGTATAATGTACTATTGCTGGGATTTGTAGTCCTCTATAGCCGGTGCCATTCTGCATTGATTGCTGTATAATTTTACACTTTCCATTTTACTATATTGCACACCACACTTTTTTTTTTCTTCCACCACTCCAAGCTTGCTCCTGTGATGGACTGCAATCTCAGTACAAACTAGTAGTCCCATCACTGGAGCCATTTTTTTTAATCCCAATTAACCGGTTAATTGAACTTAATAATCAGCTAATTAATCGATTTTGAAAATAATCGTTAGCTGCAGCTCTAGATAAATGGTCACCCTACACCAGGGATCCCCCACTAACCACCAGGGATCCCCCACTAACCGCCAGGGAGCCTCCACTGGCCACCACTGAGCCCCCCACTAACCACCAGGGATTGCCCACTAACCCCCCAGGGAGCCCCCACTGGCCACAGTGGAGCCCCCACTACCCACCTGGGAGCTACCACAGAGCCACCACTGATTATTAGGGAGCCCCCACAGATCCCGCACTGAACCAGCAGAGAGCCCGCACTGACCACCTGACAGTCCGCATTGGCCACCTGAGAGCCTAATTAGGGAGCCTCCTCTGCTGCACCCACACGTACCCGTGAAACTCTCTGGACCCCTGGAAAAAGCCCGCACAACCCTCCTGGGACCCTGGAGACATCAGGTGGAGAACCCAGAGCAACAGAGTACATAGCCTCATATTATTCTGCATTGCTGTAATATGTATTGCTGACATTTGTAGTTCTCTATAGCTGATGCTGTTCTGCATCGCTGTATAATAGTATTGCTGGGAATTGTAGTTCTCTATAGCTGTTGGTAGTCATTATTGCTGGGATTTATAGTCCTCTATAGCTGCTGGTATTCTGCATTGTTGTGTAATGTATTGCTTGGAATTGTAGTTCTCTATAGCCAATGCCATTCTGCAATGCTGTACAATGTATTTCTGAGATTTATAGTCCTCTATAGCTGTTGGTATTCTGCATTGCTGTACAGCTTGGAGTTAGTGGCAGAACTACCAGGTTTGCAGCAGTACCACTATACCTTCCATTTAAAACACAAAAATGATAAATGTAATAAAAAAAAAGTCAGGCAACAATTTAATTTCTGAATAGGCTGCTGTATTTTTTACTATTGATTGCATATTTAATGCTGAAGTGTGGTAATGCAAATGCACCATGAGCCATGAAATTATATTACAGCACATTTGGATAAACAATGCAGTGTGTTGTATATAATAAAAATAGAAGAGATTAAGTTTCAGCTTTTCATATACATGACAATCATGCCCTCATTGTATTCTATATATATAAGGGTAAGTCACATTTATAAGTACGTCTTTACATCTGTACAGAATACACAGCAATGGAAAGTCCTTCGTGTTGTAGCAGCTGCTGTAGAGGCTGCTATGTCGTGTCTAAAGTGTCTCAAGGAGCGGTTCCTCTGGTATTATTGCGTTATACACTCTTCAGCTTTGTCCATGTCTTCTCCACTTACTGGAATAAGTTTTCTTTCAATCTCCACCTGCAATAAAAGAAAACATAAATCTTCATACATGTAGGTCACAGAGCTTTGTACGGGGAATTATGGGTACAAAAATGTTACTTTTATTGCACATGGTTTTGTAAAAGATTCATATCTTGGCTTAAAGTCAAATCAGTTACAGTAGAACTCCAGGCACAGAAATTTTTGTAAGTGCTCATGTGTAAATAAATATTACCTCTGCCCATGTGTAATAAATGTCCAGATCGCTTCTCTGTACTTTTGGTTAATACTTTTCTTGATAGCATATGCTACAACTTGAGAAACGCCTTTAAAGTATATCTAAAGACAAAACTTTTTTTTATTTTTGGATTGCATAGGTAATGGTTAGAATTCCTGTAGGGTTTTGTTTTTTTATCATCTGTGTCCCATTAGGGAGGTTGCCTTTCATTTCTGCTTCTTCCTCTCACACTATAGACTCCCTGTACGAAAACTAAAAGAGGCTGATACCTGGTCAAATTCAAGTACTTGCACTGCTTGCACTTAAAAGGGAATTATGGGGTAAGTGTTTTTCCCCATAGATCTCTGTAGGGACATGGGAGGACATATGCTAACCTCATCCAGTGAGCCAAAGCTCAGTATATTGCAGGCTATTGCCCGCGATATACTGAGAGCGCCGCAGCCGGGACGGATCCCGACAATAATGTTGAGATCCACCCAGCTGGCTGATTGACAGCAGGCCAGCTGTGCCCGCTCCCTGCCCCGTCCGTTCCTCCACTCAGCGCTGGAGGATCGGAGAGGGGGGCAATCCCTGTGGGGGGCAGTGACTGACAGTCACCGCTCACTGCAGGGAGACGATCGGTAAGTGAGTAGATCGGCGGCATGTTTCTGCTCACTTCACGATCGATAGAGCTGGCCTTTGGCAGCTTCTTTGTCACAGGTCGGCTTTAACTATGAGGATGAATGGAAATCACTCACCTCATAGTTCTCCTTTAAATAATACATTTACTGATATATTAATAAGAGAGCTGTATTAATTTGTTTATTTTTTATATGCCTAAAGATCAACTTTAACATTATTTGTTAAAAAAAAAGAAAAAGAGAGTTATTTTACATATTTACAAGACTTGAGTGCAGATGACAATTTCATTGTAAGGGCTGTAGTGCTATAGTTCTCAGGCTGTGACACCAAGGTCCATATGAATATATGTAGATTTGCACAACCATGTGACAAATTAAACATCAATCGGGCAGTGCATTGAATAAAAGTAAGTGGTGTCAGGTAGGGAAGGGACATAACATAAGAACATTCATGGCAGAAAAAGACCAAATGGTCCATTGAGTATGCCCACTCCCCCTTTTTTAGGATAGGCCTATGTTTATCCCAAACATGTTTACAGTGCAGTGACTTAGGGCCTGTTCACACACGTCGGTGCACTGTTTTGTTGTTGTTGGTTTTTTTTTTGGGGGGGGGGGGTGTTTTTGAACATTGAGGCATGATGTTGTGCAACAATGCTACATTTTCGCTGTATTGAGGTGCACTACAGCCAATTCATTATGAATGGGATACTTAATACAGTGTTAAGTATTTCATTCAAACTGAATGGGCTGCAGTGCACCTCAACACAACAAAACTGTAGCACTTTCTGCATTTTTTGGATTGCATCTTGTGTTGTTGGGAACTGTGGTGCGCTGCAGCCCAGGAGTCTGGTGGAGGTGCATTGGGGTACAATTTAACATCAAAGGCATTGCAGTGCATTGATGCATGTGTGAATAGCCCCTAACTGTAGATTAACATAAAACTGATAGCACAGTGGTTATAGTTCCCCTTTAATTCTTGGTTTGCAGTATAGTGGCACATTATTTCACTGATAACTGTTACAGAGCGCTGGGGCTGGTGAGACCCTACAGAGGCCTGGTTTAACCAGGCCTCTGTGGGGTCTCACCAGGGCACTTTGGGGGCTCTGTGGGGTCTCACCAGCCCTGATTAAACCCTACAGAGCCCTGTTGGGACCCTACAAAGCCCCGGTGAGACCATATAGAACCCTGGTTTATTCAGGGCTCTTGGGGGTCTCACCAGGGCTCTGTGGGGTCTCACCATCCTGGTTAAACCCGACAGCCCGGTGAGACCCCACAGGCCTGAGTGGGGCCTCATGTTTAGGTTTCGCCTAAGGCCTCACAAACTCTAGAGCCGCCTCTGACTGCATGTTCTGGTATAATTTTTTGTAGCAAGCCTTACTACACATCTACAGTCCCCAACTATAACTAATCTGTTGTTGGTGTAACACTGCTCTCTTCAAATCTAAATTATCATTTGCAGGTAACACATTGGTGAACTTTTAAAAACAATATTGTTATTACTCTATGGATATACATTTTTTACATATACTCATCTGTATGCAGACAGAGAGAACACATGGGGTTTGCACTGATACATAATCAATAACTCAACCCTGAGATAATACAAAAATTACATATTGTACTAGTGATGATAATTTCATAGGTTTGCCAGTATGAAAACTTTCTTCCTGTTAAAGCACAAGGGTTAAGCATTAACATTTAATCAGATTTTTGGTCATCGTTAAGCAGTGTTGGCTGAATACTCCAACGCAAGCAGTTTTGCTGAATTATATCATCTTTCAAAAAATGATGACTTAAGCAAGTTTCTAGTTACCGTTTCATTAAGTGAAGCATGTTCTCCTTGCACTCCTACTGTTACATTTTTGTCTGTCTGGACATTCCTTCCTTTGCCCGTCTGTGCACAATCCCTTATCTCATTCTGGAAACATTACCTTATATGACACCTGCACGCTTTCTATTACACTATTAGCCTTATTGTGATTTATATAAATTAATATATTCAAAACAGGATAAACTTTAGAATACTGAGTCTCATTAAATGATCGAGTCAGTGCACTCTGAGACCCCAAACCAATCAGTACAACTGACTAAAGTGGAGGGATAACCTCAACCAGCTTCGAATTACTTCCATTCTGTGATCATCACTATGTTAGAGATGATCATAGATTTATAGATGGTCATAGGTCTGTTTATGGGCATTTGGGTCAAACATGCTAGCAGAAGGAGAAAATCTACTGCACGCACTTGATGTTTCCTCCGGGGATTTTTTATTAAAACATGGAAATTGCACACAGTTCCTCACACCTTCTTCTGGCCGGGTTAGTAGTTCTATTTCGTTGGGTCAAAAAGAATAGTTCTTAGTTTGCCAAAGTTGATTATTTAACTTATGCATTTTTAAATGTGGTAAATTGGAGACAGAAGTAATTTTTCATATATAAAATGCTGTGTTTTTGTTTACCAGGACATAGGTTTCTGTTAGCAACTGATAACTAAAAGGCCAAGAGGTTTGAGAACTTTATATGATCCTGCTCCTATAAAACCCCATCTTATCAAGAGGCAAGAACCTTATGTTATCCTACTCCTAGAAAATACCACCTAACCAAGAGACAAGAACCTTAGGTCATCCTACTCCTAGAAAATTCCACCTAACCAAGAGACAAGAACCTTAGGTCATCCTCTCCCTAGAAGATATCACCTAATCAAGAGGCAAGAACCTTATGTTATCCTACTCCTAGAAAATTCCACCTAACCAAGAGACAAGAACCTTAGGTCATCCTCTCCCTAGAAGATACCACTTAATCAAGAGGCAAGAACTTTATGTTATCCTACCCCTAGAAGATACCACCTAATCACGAGGCAAGAACCTTATGTTATCCTAACCCTAGAAGATACCATCTAACCAAGAGGCAAGAACCTTATGTCATCCTGCCCCTCGAAAAACTTAAATACAGATGTCACCGCACAAGAATTTCATATCAGGGCAAATCTGTTTTATTGATAGATGTCACTCAGACAAGCGATGTTAGGACCACTATGGGTCCCCTTCATCAGGCTCAGAAATGTAATTTCTGAGCCTGATGAAGTGGGACCCTACGTGGCCCCGAAAGCTCTTGTCTGAGTGACATCTATTAATAAAATGGATTCGCACTTATATGGAATTCCCGAGCTGGTGAAATCGGTATTTAATTTTTACTGGGAGCGGCGCCATCTGCAGCCATTACGCAGCCGTTACTTTGGGATATCCGGTAAGGAGTGCTGCAAGGTATATGGAACTATCCTGCCCCTAGAAGACACCACCTAACTAAGAGGCAAGAATCTTATATCACCCTGCCCCTAGAGGACACCACATTACCAATAGGCAAGAACTTGTGTGTTTTGTCTCTAGAGCAGCCATTCTCAACCTTTATAACAACAAGGAACCCCTTAATAACTTTCAGGTCTCAAGGATAATAATAAATTATTTTACGTAATAATAATGAAAATATGAATGTCATCATAATGATGAGAACAATAATGGCCAGAAAATAAATGCAGACAGTGAAAATGTATTTGTGCTTTCTCACTTTGATGATCAATTAAGTCCCCCCCCCTTTCATTAGCAGTCAGTTGAAAGAGGCCCCCTTATGTTAGTGGTCATTAGGAGAAAGGCCCCTTAATAATGATGCTCAGTGGGAACAATTCCCCTTACAGATGGTTGTACAAAGGGCAAACTGGTTGTACAGATACATAACAAATCTTAGAAAAGACTCCCTGGAAGGTAAACAGCAATTACATTTGCATGTATTTCTAATGGACAGATGCCTTTATATCATCCAGGTCTCTAACAGACATTAATATGGTTTATCTAACTCACACTAAAAACACCTTGAAATCATTTGTGCTCAGGAAGGCTTATGCCAATACATTTATCAGCAGGCATTTTAAAAAGCTCCCTTGTCATGTTAAAACTGACTTTGCATGTCATTTTCAGCAACATCTGAGGTTACTGATTTCTAAACGCTAGCTCCTAGAAGGCTTCAGTTGGCATTAATAAAAGCTGTAAATACACATTTTAAATGTCTATTAAATTTCCCAGATGTTATGACATGGCATCAGGCATATGGATGGAAGTCCTTATTAAGTAAAAGAGATTAATAAAAATAGATCATGTAAAAGGACATATTAAAGTGAATATAAAGCTACTACAGCAGAGGCAGGCAACCTTGACTTTGGCTCTGCAGAGACAGGCAGTACCTCATAAGACTTGTAGTTTCACTACAGCTAGAGGGCTGAGGTTGTCTACCCCTGCACTACAACTTCCTAAGATTGGAATTCCATTAACTATCAAGATTTTCTCTAATTTCCTGCTGTATGTTTGGATTAGAAAGTAAAAGGAATTCTCCCCAGTGAGACACAGACAAATAAAAATATCCCTATAAGAGTTTTAACCCTCCTAATTTTGTATTCGTGTAATGGCTGTAGTACCACTTGTAACCAACAGATGGCAATACCAGGTACAGTATGCAGCTGGGCCCATTACACTTTTAGTGAATTATTTATATTTGTATTATTTCAGGGCAAAATGTGCACCAGTATATTGAAAGAGCTTGAGTGTTTAAAGGATTGCGCTTGTACACATGCAAGCTGTGGAAAATCAGATTAAATTCCCATGGGCATAAAATATACAGGGTTATTCACAAAAGGGTGAAGAGTTTGGAGAAGGCAGGAGAAGTGAACAATCTAGTACAACATAGCTGAACTGGAAAGTGAGCTGAATTGGAGAATTTTCCAAATCATCTATTTTGGCCTAGAGTGTTCACTTCTCCTGCCTTCTACAAACTCTTCACCCTTTAGTGCATAACCCTGTATATGTTAGTATGTGTACAATGATTTAGGGAATAAAAATGCCTTTTCATAACATTCAGCGTAATGATTTTATTGCATTCTATGGGTCACTTTAAAAAAGCTTGAGGAGTAAAAAAAAGTTGTGGAGTTGCTGTCCTGTAGCAGCCAACCAGGTGTTAGTGTTTCTTTTCTTACCAGTATTAAGGACAGTCACATTTCATACACTCTCCTATAGCTTTGAATTTTATAAGGCAATTCTAGCCAAACCGTTTAAATGATAATTTTAGTGGTGCTATGTAAAAAAAACTGAAAACAAGGGCTCCCTTATAGAAGAGTGTTAATATCTTCCTGTCCTGCCACCCTGTCTCTGTTGCCCTCTACATGACTACAGGACAATGTAGTGACATAGTGACTCAGTGGATGAAACCACAGCATTGGAAGAGTTCCCATTTAATACTGTTTTGATGACAACCCAAAATTTTGGATTTTTCTTTCACTTTCAGTGATAATGGTAACCAGGACAAATGGAGAGTATAAATCTCACTGACAGCAATATAAACCTGACAGGAATTCTTTCATAGATGGCCAGATATGCTTTCCTACAAGATTGGCCTTCCTATGCACTAGACATGTGCATTCGGATTCGGACAAACCTGCAAATCAACGAAAATCAGTTGATTCGGCGGCTCGTTCGAATCCGAAATAACTAATTTAATATATTTTTAAGCAAAAAAAAAACAGGGGCAGCCAACCTAGCAGAACACTGAACAAGTCCCAATCATAAATCAGGACCTTTCTTACCCTTACCCAACTATGGTTTTAGAGAACAGGTAAAACCCCTGGACCCCTTAACTTAAAGTGACATTAAAAGGCAAAAAACATTTCCCTCACCCCAACATTAATTAAAGCACTTACCTTAAATTATGTCTTTTAAAAAAGGCTTTAAAAAAGGCTTTTCCCCATAGTTCTCCTTAGGGTAACGGGAGGACACAAACTAGCGTCCTCCCGTCAACATAAGCTCAGTATACTCAGCTGTAGCTCGCGGTATACTGAGACGCCGCAGCTGAAGCGGATCCCGACAATTATGTCTGGATCCGCCCAGCTGCGTGAGTGACAGCTGGCTCTGCCTATCTAGAGGCACAGCCAGCTGGACCCGCCCCCTCCCCCGTCCGATCCGCCAGTCAGCGATGGCGGATCGGAGCGGGGAGGAGGGAATCCAGCCTCCAGTTCGCTCACCTCCCGATCTACTGAGCCGACCTGTGACAGTCTCATTGTCACAGGTCGGCTAGAACTATGAGGTGAGTGAAAAGCACTCACCTCATAGTTCTCCTTTAATCCGATCATCTTCTTCTTTCCTTTAGTTTTCAGCCTTCTCTCCAGCGCTGCGGCGAATCTCCGATCCAGCGCTGAGTCCTCTGAGCTTGCTGGCATGAACTCTCCCACGGTGTCTGCATGCAGGTGCACGCGTCCATAGACTTACCTTGTGTCTTTCCTTGCGTCCCGGACGAAAATGTGAACTGTGTATGCCCCGCGCCCCAAGATGCTTTGCGGCCGCCCGTGCAGTTTCACATTTTCGGACGGGAGCACGCAGGGAACACACACGTAAGTTTAAACCGCCGTTAAAGAGGTTTTTTTTAAAAACTTTTTTAAGCTTGCTAGCAGTAGATATATGCAAAAAAAAGCTGAGGGTTTAGAAACCCTTTAAAGACTAGTATTTCACATTTGAAAGACCCTCGATCCTAAATAGAGCAATGTCCCAGTCATTCCTGACAACAATTCTCATACCTGTAGGCTGCATGCTAATGCCATCCAATTAGAATAAATTAAAATAGGCATGCCACACATCAGTTGGCCCCATTTGTTATTTTTCAGGTCCTTTTCATTGTAGCATCAAGCTCACATTTCTGTTTTTCTATCCGCAGCAGCAGCAGAAATCCTGTACGAGTTTTTCCCCATCCGTATCAAAGCACTCTAACAATACAAATGCTTTGATAAAATGGAGGAATGTTTCTAAAATTGACTATCTCTATTGATTCCAAACAATGGTTTCATGTTTGTGTTTAGGTGTCAGGAGAGCCGTATCTCCAGTGCTCCTGCATGCATTAAAATAACAGACACTTTAGAGTTGACAGCCTGGCGAGGTTTGTACGCATTTGCTGAACTGTATGTTTTGCACTTGTTTTGAACATGGAAACAGCTGACACAGGTATGCAGAGGCAATGATGAACCGCATATATTTACGCAGAGCATAAAGTGGATGTTTTATATTAGAGAGCATTTCACTGCCGTGTCTCTGGCAGACTCGTCTGTTTAGAAGTGGCTGCCACTGAATCTACAATTGATCCAAAATTCTCACAGGTAGTAAAATTACAACTGTCTGAATCTAATCAGAATGTATAATGTTCCATCTGCCATTCTTATGACTCTCTGGATAACCATTCATCTGCAATGTAAACCATTCAAAATGAATGTGCAAATCAATAATACCTGTATGTTGTAGCAAGCTTTGTGCAAGACGTGTTTATGGGGCTGGATATCACTCTCGATGCCCATTGATTTTACCTCTGCCCCCGAGACGCATGTAGCCGGCATAACAAACTGCACCGTTGCCACGGGATTCCAGTTACGAGGGATCTCCTGGTCTGAGCCCAGCTCAAGCTTGCAGGATAAGCTGTGTGGTTGATCTGGACCTGCGAAAATAAGAAATAGGATCAGACGATAATTCTTCCAAAGGCGTTGCACAAATGGTAAGAAACAAAGCCAGCCTGGAATGGTGCCAATCATAAAAGCAATCTTTAAAGAAGAATGCCAGGTAAAAATGCTCTTAACCCTTGCAGTGGGACTACCCCCATGCTGCAAGTGTTAAGTGCTGGTTTTTGCCTTATTCAAAAATAACAAAGCTGTACTCATTCAATCCTCCAGCCGGCCAGCTCTTAGACTGGTCCCTTCCACCTTTCTCCCCCTCTGCTTTATCGGTCTAAGGTCCCTGAGTCATCACGTTCTATACACAGTGTATGTGAGGATGCCGAGGGACATTTATTGGCTATTGAGGAAGTCAAGTGTATACAAAAATCAAAACTTTTTGGCCAGTTATTTTACATATCCATCCCTCTCATCCTGTGAAAACCAGTTTAAAAATCCATCAACTTTTTTTACAGAATACCCCCCTCCTTCACATTGCCTCTCACCATGTGACCTTCAAGGACATTGCAATGAACATAATTATCCATAAGGGGAGGACAAACTAAACAAATGCTTCTGCCTACTTGCAGTAGGTAGGCAATACTTGATATTGATCAAGGTCCGAGACAGCAAGGTCTAGCAGGGGGTCTACAAAAGAGAGAAGTTATGTGTGAGGTTGAGCTTGTTGTGAATTTTTTTGTCTTTATTGTTTTTTAGTAACCTTTTTATGTTCCAATGAGTTAGTTGAAATCACAAGAACAGTAGGGTACTTTTACTTAATCTGTGATTTTGAATCGCATTATAACTTGACTGCTTGTCAAGGTTCATTGGTTTGGCGAGACCCTTACTGTAATTGTTTTTCCCCAATAGCTAGTAAGACAAAATCTTTCTGCCAGCATCACTCTGGCACTAAGCCTTACATACTATACGGAGGCAAAAGGTACACTAGAGATCTGCGTTACATAAAAAAATAGCATGAAATGCATTTGTGATTACTAATTATATCTCCATCCTCAAGGTGCTTGTTAGAATTGTACTTTGTAAGTGAATAGTGCAAGAATAAGAGCCCATTCACACCAGGGCGGATGTGGATCAGCGCGGTTTCCACATCATCAAACGTGAATCCTTACTGCCCCTTCCTGTTGTACGAATAGATATCCCTGAAGAGAAAACCCCTAACAAATCGTCAGCAGAATGTCATCTTTACTTTTTTTTTTTTAAACATCTTTTTATTGAAATTCCAAAGAACATCATATTTCAAACAGAATAATAATGTAATAGCAGTACATCATATCCAAACAAAATAACATACAAAATAACATACAAAATAACACTCATGTCACATGTAGACCAAAGAAAATTAATCAAAAAGAGACATAGAGATTTGCAGATTGCATGAAACCCTTTCCAAAGAGTGTTTCAGCTTTGTTCGTCATGCTTACTATCCAAGCAGCTGCAGACTGCCGTAGGTACGACCTATCTTAATCTTAATGGCTACCTCACCTAGCCCGGATTATAGTTCTCCGGGAGTTCTAACTGCCCTAGGGAGTTCTCCAACCTCCTCTCTAGGTACCATTTAGTTAGTTTGAAGGGATACATGAGAGCATGTAGCTCGGCTCCGGAATAACTGTGTAATATAAAAGGTTCCCACTTCTTAAAGAACCAATCAGAGTGTTTGTCCGGGTCAAGGGTTGCCTCAAGTCTCTCCTTCCACATCAAAGACATTAATGCCTTCACAAAATGTTGGGGCGATGGAGGCTGCTTGGAGAGCCATTGATGCATAATTATACGTTTTGCCAGTAACAAAGCTACATACACCCATTGCTGCGTATGTCTATTAGGTACCGTAGATGATTTCCAATAACTGAACAAACACAGCCAAGGTTCCCGGAGCAGGGGAGTATTCAGAATGACCGCTAAATAGGAGAGTACCGATTCCCAGAAGGCGACAATGTGTGGACAGTCCCAGAGACAGTGTCGGAGAGAGGCCCCCTCCAGGGTGCATTTGGGGCACGCTGTTAAGTATGGGCTTGGAGCCCTTATTTTATGAAAAAAACCAAAGGCATAATAAGCCTTATGTATGATCCTGAAATGAGTCTCTCTCCACTGCTCATTGGGTGTGCACCTCCTAATGTTCTGACATCCCTCCAGCACGGCACTCTCAAAGTCCTCCAGCGGGAAGTCCCTTCTCCATTTCACCAGAGAAGTTCTCGCTGGTTTAGGGTTAAAGTAAGAATTAATAATGGGATATATGTAGGACAGCGGGGTTTTGAGGAATTTGTACAATTCTGCTGTGTAGCCATCAGGTCCCGGGGCCTTCCCATTGCTTAAAGACGTTATTGTGTGCAGTATTTCCTGCTCTGTTATATCTGCGTTCAGCGATTCCAGTTGGGGTTCAGACAAGGTTGGGAGAGGGATGTCATCGAAGGGGAAGGTAGTGTGGTCAGTCGGGGCAGATTGGGTAGTATACAATTTATGGTAATATGTGTGCAGCAAGGCATTTATTTGTTTCGGGTCAGTGACTCCCTACCCCTGCGGGGTTTTCAGACATTGTATCGGGCGGGGGGTCTGACGTGGACGGACTAGATTGGCCAGCAGTTTACCACATTTGTTGCCCAATTTATGGAACTTCAGCTCCCAAACAGATTTGGTATATAGCTCGTATTTGTGTAATAATGCTTCGTATTCCCCCTTAGCCTTGGCCCAGGAGGTCATGAGTTTGTTCGTGGGATTGGTTTTGAAATCTGCATAGGCCTGGCGTAGTGCAAGACTAGCCATTGAATGGGATGCTATCGCTTGTTTTCTTTTGGCTCCCACATAGGCAATCAGCCGTCCCCTTAAATAGGCTTTACCGGCCTCCCAAAATAATGTAGGGGAAGTGCCTGGTAGGTCATTGGTAACTGTGTAGTCCTGCCATGCAAGTAGCAATTCCTCCCTAAAGTTGACATCGTCCAGAAGGTGTGAGGGAAAACGCCATATATGAGCGTCACCCCTGGGGAGACGACTATGCAAACTAATCGCTACTGGAGCGTGGTCTGATATCACCAGGTCGTGTATGAGGACTTGTTTAGTATAGGAAAGCAGGGGTTGGGAGCAAAAGATATAATCTAGTCTAGCCAGGGAAGCATGTACCTGAGAGCAGTAGGTATATTCTCTACCTTCCGGGTTCTGCAGTCGCCATACATCAAATACGTTGAGGTCTGATTGGAGCCGTTCTAAGTGTGAGGGCGAGGATGGGGTTAACCCCTGTTGCAGTAGTTTAGTAGAAACCCGATCCTCGACCTCTGACACCACCGAGTTCATATCCCCTCCTATCACCTTATTCGCCACCGCATCCTGCAATACCCATGAGGTTAAGGTACGAAAAAATTCGCCTGGTGGTGAGTTTGGCGCGTACACATTATAGATGACATATTCAGCCCCCTCGATTGTGATATAGACCTTCAAGAGACGACCCTCTGTATCTCTGTCTGTGGAGAGTACAGTATACGCGAGATTTTTGTGCAACAAGATAGCCACTCCCGCCTTCCTTCCTTGAGAAGGGGAGCCAAGAACTTCCCCAACCCAGTATTTACGTAGGCGGTAGAGATCTGCCTGCAGTAGGTGGGTTTCCTGCAATAGGGCAATGTGGGTTTTCAATTTAGCTAGATGACGCAATATTCTGGAGCGTTTCTGAGGTGAGCGCAGCCCCTTTACATTCCAAGTCACTATATTGACTGTACTAGACATATTTATAGAAAATAGGTGGTAACTGTGTAGTCCTGCCATGCCAGTAGCAATTCCTCCCTGAAGTTGACATCGTCCAGAAGATGTGAGGGAAAACGCCATATATGAGCGTCACCCCTGGGGAGACGACTGTGCAAACTAATCGCTACCGGAGCGTGGTCTGATATCACCAGGTCATGTATGAGGACTTGTTTAGTATAGGAAAGCAAGGGTTGGGAGCAGAAGATATAATCTAGTCTAGCCAGGGAAGCATGTACCTGAGAGCAGTAGGTATATTCTCTACCTTCCGGGTTCTGCAGTCTCCATACATCGAATACATTGAGGTCTGATTGGAGTCGTTCTAAGTGTGAGGGCGAGGATGGGGCCAACCCCTGTTGCAGTAGTTTAGTAGAAACCCGATCCTCGGCCTCTGACACCACCGAGTTCATATCACCTCCTATCACCTTATTCGCCACCGCATCCTGCAAAACCCATGAGGTTAAGGTACGAAAAAATTCGCCTGGTGGTGAGTTTGGCGCGTATACATTATAGATGACATATTCTGCCCCCTCGATTGTGATATGGACCTTCAAGAGACGACCCTCTGTATCCCTGTCTGTGGAGAGTACAGTATACGCGAGACTCTTGTGCAACAGGATAGCCACTCCCGCCTTCCTTCCTTGGGAAGGGGAGCCAAGAACTTCCCCAACCCAGTATTTACGTAGGCGGTAGAGATCTGCCTGCAGTAGGTGGGTTTCCTGCAATAGGGCAATGTGGGTTTTCAATTTAGCTAGATGACGCAATATTCTGGAGCGTTTCTGAGGTGAGCGCAGCCCCTTTACATTCCAAGTCACTATATTGACTGTACTAGACATATTTATAGAAAATAGGACTGAAGGCGGGCATGTGGCAACTGTGCCCAAGACTCTCTATAGACCAATATACTACTTGTTGAAGTGGGCGAGTCTCCACGTTTATAAGTAACACCACTATTGGAAGAGCATGAGCAGCCCCCTCCGTTAATAGCATAAACAATAAGGTCACACGACCCGGCCTAAAACAGGTCTGCAGAATACATGCACGTTGCAAATCAGAATTCATGGACATGAGAAAAATCAACACAGTTAACAAAGTGGAACAGAAAAAATAACATAACATAGAAAATCTCTCTCCCACAGGCGATTCACCCTGGACCAGTAAACCCGGAGCAGGGTGAATGAGCCCCATGGAGTAAAGAGTCTGAGAAAAAAAAGAACAAGTCATAACACTCCCTTTTTTCCCACAGTGCGAATCGGATCAAAAACACTAGTGAAAAGGGAAACGGGACTTTAGGTAAGGGGGTCTATCGTAGGCCAGAGTCATGCCGTCTTAGAAAAAGTGTCGACGGTGGGGATATATAGGTGAGAACTGTTAAACATAGTTACGTGATGAGATGAGGTGAAGTCCTCCGTCCGTTCCATCCGTATGGTGAAGTAATGTAGGCGATACACAAGCCAAAACTAGGGGTACCCATCAGCGGGCACAAACTCCCACTTCAAAACTACGAGGCCGATGAGAAGAAAACCACAAAAAATAAACAAGAGGTGGTGCACCCTTTAACACGTTGCATCGCCGGCCAAGAGCCACAGAGACAAGCCGCCTCGGTCAGGGTCGGGGATCCTGCTTCAGATCAACATTTCTCCCGGCGGGCCCGGGTGGATTCAGGTGGGCTCTCCCAATGTGGAGTTTGGAGGTGGGGAGGATCTTCATTGTCGCTTGCTTCCAAAGTGGGAACGTTGATCAGAGCCCGCCACTTCAGCCGGTTCAAGAAACTGTAGGGCATCTTGAGGAGATGTAAAAGTGTGACGAGTCCCGTCCCCTGATTGGATACTCAGAGTCGCCGGGTAGATCAGGGAGAAACGCAGTTTCCTTTGGTATAGCATCTTGCAGATCTCGGAGAAAGCCTTCCGCTTGCGGCTTACTTCAGCTGAATAGTCAGCAAAGAAAAGGATGTTGTGGCCGTCAAAACGAAAGTTTGATCCATTGCGATAAGCCTTCAGGATGTCTGCTTTATCCACATATGACAGGTATTTCACTATTACTGGACGTGGGCTTGAGTATTTCTGCTGCTGCAACCCCAAGCGATGTGCCCTTTCCACAGTGCAGGCACGGGTAAGTCCCAGCGCTTCTGGTAGGAGATGCGAGCAGAGATTTGATAATCATCCATATCCAGAGATTTGATAAGTCGGCTGGTAGGTAGGACTCAGGCAGACCTACTATACGTAAGTTGTTCCTCCTAGATCGGTTCTCCAGATCCTCCAATTTGGCAGTGACCGTTTGATGATGTTTGGCAATGGTCTGTAGGCGAGCGTTGGTGGATGCCAGCTCGTCTTCTAAGAGGGAAACTCTGTTTTCCACATCCGTGACGCGGTGAGCTTGTGCCAGGAGCTCATGACGGAGCGACTGAATGCCCTTAGTGACAGCCGAGTCGACCGCGGCCTGTACTGAGGCCTGTATGGTGGGCTTCAATAACCTGGCTACCGCTGCGGCTATCTTCGCCGAGTCGACTGATGGTTCAGGGTCCGATATAGATTCGGCATCCGGGTCCGTTAGTGAGGCCGATTGGGAGGCCTCCATGGCTTCCGTCAGATTGCGCGCGCTCGTTGTCCCGGGTCGGGATTCCGATCTCAGCGGAGCGCGAGACCTGTCAACGAATCTGTCCATGGGCAGAGACCGGGTATGAAGGCTGGTTAGGTCTTGCGTGACCGCTCGACGGCAGCTCTGGCCGATATAAAATGCTGATATAGTTGTCCCGAAAGCCCGGAGCTCCTCACATACGCGTCTCGCTCTGCAGGCGCCGGAACCGGAAGTCGTCATCTTTACTTTTTGTTACCAAGTAGTAAATTGTGCCCTAATTCCCAGTGGCCTCTATTATCAGCTCATTCACCTTCATCTACAGGAGATTGCTGGGAGATGGTACCATAGAAGCCTATAAGGATCGACTGCACAGGCAAGGGTAAAGCAAAGAAAACACTGGGGAAGATAGATTAGATAGGAAATGGTGCCGTGTGCACCTGAAAAACTAGAGTAATCTAAATGAATTATGGAGACGGCAGCTGCCTTCTCAGGTCTCTGCCTAACTTGCAATCATTGGAAAAGCTACAGCATGTTCTACAGCAAGGATAGGTAAACTCCAGCCCCACACCTGTGGTGAAACTACAAATCCGATCATGCATCTGCCTCTGGGAGACATACCTGTGGCTGTCAGAGTCTTGTGATGGCTAATGGGATTTGTAGATGTACCACAACTGAAGAGCCAGAGTTTATCTACACCTGTTTTTGCATATTTTGCAAAAGCTGTGCAACTAAAAGCTCTGTTTTTAACCCTATTAGCTGGACAGTGCAATTTGTCTTTTATGCAGGCTAACTGGTAAGTATGCTGGAAAATTTTTTCTTTCGCCATATATAAAGCATTCACACAGCTTTTCACTGTGTGAACGAGATTCACAGTGCTGTATAGTCACAAATTGGAGCTGATGAGCAGCAAAGAACTGTGCGCCCCACAGTGGTGCATCAGCTTTTTACACAGATTAATAAATATGACTACTTTTTGTTTCTCTAAAAATGAAAATTTACTTACTAGAATTTTTATCTGGGAGTCTATCAATCTTCCATACAACAGCCTTGTAAGCATACTCATACTTAGCTGTTCCGATCGTCACTTGTATTACTGGTTCAGATTCAATTTCATATGTGGATCCCAGGCAAGCTCTGCGGTTCATCTTGGTTTTCAGGGACCTCTGCCTCTGAAGACTTGCTGTCCATAGTGCTTTGACCCACTGTGCAGGAACTGGGAAATTGATGGTTATATTCTCACAAAAATGTATCTGCGGTGAAGCCACCACACTTCCAGATGTGTTAAGAAAAGCTTGGAGCTCTACATATGCCCCCTGGACCACAACCAAGCTCTTCAAAGAAAAGGGAAGTTCTTCTAATACACAAGGAGTTTTAAATCGCATCAGCTCAAACCTACATCCATCCACTGGGGTGAACTTAACTATCCTGGACTTTGTGAATTCGTGTTTTTTAACACATTTATGGAAATGATACTCGGAAATGTTGATCAGTTTTTCATCATTGTCCTTTCCAAAATAATTTTCCGATAGCCTTTGCAACTCGGAGTCGTTCATTGTTAAAAAACACTCTACACCACTGTGAATGAAACAAAGACAGTACACTTGAGACATTACTGCCTTGTCATGTAGTTTTCCATCTTTGGTGACTTCTGCCCAAACGTTGTCCACTAATTCCACTGACATTTCAGGCTCTTCATAAGTTCTCTTTTGTTTCAGTACTGGAGAGAGCATCATCAATTCTTCCTCTATTGTTATGATAAAATCTGTTAAATCACAGTAATCAGTGGTGCCTAATTTTAACATTTGTTCAATTTCGGCTTCATGGACCACTTCAAGTTTTGGGTGGTATTTTCTTTTTTCAGAATAAGTTACATTTTCTATCTTAACTGAGTGTATTTTTTCAGAAACTCCTAAGTTTTCCAGCTTGGGTTCTGAAAGCCTGCAGAACTGATGAAGTTGAAACTCTTTGAATGGTTTCTCAAGGCCCTTTTCATAATACATTTGCAGAATTCCACCAGACAGAACTTTCAGGTAAATAGGTCCCCACTGCCTGGAAGACATCATGTTTTTTTTCTCCGGAATCCTCAACATGAAAGGCCACCCATCTTTTTTCTGACTTCTAAAGAGACTTTGTGGAATAAATGAAGGCCTGTTTCTTTCAGCACAAGCAAGATGATGCTTCAAATTGTCAGGTGGGTCAGTGTTTAAATGCTGAAGCCTTTCACACACGTAGCTGAAAGAACACTGGTTAAGGCTTCGCTGGTTATTAAATGTGTCTTTTTCTGTTGCGTTGTGTTCTTGTTTTGCAGGAATTTTATCTTTTATCTGAGAGTCTATCACATTGCCTGCTTCAATTGAACAAATGATGCCTGAAAAGTCATTGTTCCAAAACGGGCTTGAAAACGCACACTCATTAGGTGGTTGTTGCAAATGTGAACTTGTTAAGCTACCTAAATAATTTATAGTTTTCAACTTCGGACTTGAATCATTTATACCTGAATATGCAGGTGATGGAATGCTTGATGTCTGGTTTTCTGCCAGCAAAGTTGAGGGCTCAGATAACGTATAGGGTTGAACCTGTGAAAACTCTGGAATGGGGTACAAGTTATAAGACCCTGTTTTTGTAGTGCATGGAGTGACTGGACTGTCTTTGATGGGTGTGCACAAAGGTGAATTAAAAGGAGGTCCAGGGCTGGTAAAGTCAATTATGGGAGATGTGTGAGGAGTGCTGGCGTTGGAGGACAGGCTTGTATGGTCGTGTGACAGACTCAGTTTCAGCCCTCTTGATCTAGGAATGTAATGGTTGTCATGAGGATGGATCAGTGACTTCTGGGGAGTCTGGAATGGATTGTCATCATCGAAGGTCACCCAGCTTTCTGGATTAGTTGAGCACATTTTCTTCCCTGTGGTAGTCTGAATGTCTGAATTGCCTAGGAAACACAAGAAAATAAAATGTAATTGTTGTAATAAAAATAAGTATATCTAAATGTAAAACATTTCACTTTAGTTTTAGAAAGAATAGGGAAGGGTTATCCGTGTGCCTTTGCCATCTATGTCCCACTGGGGAAATGTGCATTCCATTGTGAGGGAAATCCTTTCTAAAGCTGCCCATACACCTTACCAATATTGGCCGATTTTCGTATGCGATCGCGTTTTTGTCCGATATTCGTAAGGTTGATGGGCAGTGTACAAACGCAAATACTGTACAATCGATCGACTTTTGACTAACCAGCAGGTTAGAAAACTTCAGTCGATCGTAAGATTTTCGCACGGTTGGTGGCGTTTCCGTACATCAAAATTCGTATGATTAACACTGCTCATGCGCAAAGGAAAATACGTGCAATCGATTACCGCAATTCGTCCAGGTGCTTTCGTCTAATTACTGCTGATTCAACCTTGCGATAATCGGAGCTGGATGCGGCCACCGTACAAAAATTGTACGACGGTTCGATCATCGGACGAAAAGTGTCGTCCGATGATCGCAAGGTGTATGGGCAGCTTTACAGTGTGGCCGTGCTTTTATTTCAAAGGCTGACTTAATGCAACACACCAACATAGTGTGCATTGGCCCCTAGGGTTCAGGTTAAGAGTTACATATTAAGTTTGGTGAAAGCCCAACTGATTTTTCAGGTTAAATCAGCTAATCACAACAATAAGTGTTCAAAGTCTTAAAGTCCATTTTCTTTAGAAAGCAGCAAAGCTCATGCTGCTTGCTGATTGGAGAGCTCTAGCTTTGACTCAGCAGGGGGCATGTGGGACCTCTGCAGACAGACCACTGCTTTCACGCACAGAGCACGGGTCCTTCTCTGCACCATGCTGGCAAGGGACAGGCTTTTCTCCTCTACTTTCCAAGAAAAAATGCACTGCAAGGCTTTGCACACCTTTTGTTTTGCTCCACTCAAAAGCATTTAGCTGATTTAGGGCCCATTCACACCACAGTATTGCCCTAAAGACACAGTTATCATGTATTTAGCTCACACTGTCACACAATACAATGCAGTGCACCCTAGGTGTGCTGTACTATGAACAGTAAAAAAAATCCATAGTAACATAAAAAGAAAGCCTTTTATTAATACATAATTATGCTACAGTATACAATAAACTGATCACATTCACAAGCAGGATTACAATAACAAAAGATGGTCTATTCCATTCAAACTTCCACATATAATTTTCTCATAATTACATATCATGCCTATACTACGTTAAAGAATTTTATACATTCTAACCATGATTGTTATACTAAAAACATGGATATGGCTGCATTGCAGAAACATCATTTCAAAAGGGACAATTTCTAACCCTGCAGGAAAGCGTGTTTAAATGTAAACGGGGGGAAAATAACATTTCCAAAGACCTGTTTATCAGTGGTGTTTGATGGAAAATGAGCAGACACAATAATGAAATGGCCCAGATATACAACCATCAGAAAGAGCCAAATGCATAAATATTAATGCGGCTAATGCTACCCCATTAGTGACTAGAAAGTTGATTTTCCTTACAGTCATAATACATAATACCAAAGTGTTTCATTATTTTCACATACATAAAAACATGTTGCGAGAGCGGAATAAAAAGTGTTGGAAATACATTTTGAAAATGCTTTTTTTAAAAGTATTTGGACTTTTCCATCCAAAATATATGAAATATCTGCACAATCTATTATTTAGAGGCAAATCTTTTTAAATCACAAAGCGATAGGCTAGAAGCTGAGATGGCTGCATCTGGGTCCTGGTATGTAAATAGAAGCATTTCGTTGCCAAGTTTATTAAACCGTGAAGCAAATCTGTACAGCAGTAATATGGAGTATTCGAGGGCAGATACATTTTTTTTTCTCTGTGGATACTGCATAATATATTTCCCTATAATGAGCAGTAATGCAAGAACATAAAATAGTTATAGAAACAATATGCTGAAACAAAATGTAATTTAAACAGTTGGTGGTGGATAGTGTCATGTGGTGGATGTGCTAAGTTAAAGCTTAGCACAAGGAAGACATCCCCAAAAAATCAATTTAATGCAGTTATTGCCATTTATTTAACATATTAAAGTCCAACTGTATGATAAATATTAAACTCCACCCACCCCTCCCTCCCATTTTTCTCTATCTAAAAAAAATCCTTAACTAAAAACCCTATTTTACTTACCTAAGCACTAAGCAGTGGTCACGTGGTGCTGCTTGAATCCTTCCTTGAGTGTTTACGTCAGCACCTGCATGACATGGACACTTCCTATAGGATGCACGGCAAGATTAACTTAGAGGCTACTGCAGCGTCAGCTCCAGGCCCACTACAGACCAGCCCAGATCACTTTGGTATGTCCAATGGAACACAACCAAGCAGAGGCACCAGCTGCTCTCTGATCAGTGATGAGGCCCCAGGAGTGAGAAGTCGCCAAATTAGAGAGCCGCCTCCTGCTTCCCGTCCGACCAACCGCCAGCACCAGGCCCATAATTCTCTTAATCCAGCCCTGATTGGATGTCTATTGGCCAGGGTCCTCCCAGGATCCAAAAGAGGACCAATGTTAGCATAGGGGAGTGGATGGGACAGGCACTATCAGGCGCCATTGCACCGCTGGATCTGCGTTCCCCCCATACGGGAAACTGCGAGTGAGTATATCTGACTTTACAAGTTATATGGAAAAAAAAAGGCTAGTAGGATGGGTTAGAGGTGGGCGGGTGTTTAGAGCTAATTGCTTATCTGAATCTTGTGGTAGAAGAAAATTTGACCCAGTAGTATTTACCATACTTTTACAATACAACAAATGCTATACACCACCTACTTAGTTGCAGGTAAAACAATACATAAGCATGCAGGCCGCTAATACATACATACACATATACTATTCTCTAGCACATGCAAAGGTTTCTATAAGAGGATACACTATAAAGTCACTTAGCCTCAGTTGTTGCTGGTTTACAAATTCCGTAGCGGTTAAGCATTCTCAGGAAAATGGCATCTTGTCATAGCTTAGTGCTGTCCCCTGTTCCAGTGAGGTCCTCTGGTCAAAGTTCCTCAGGGAAGTCCCCCCAATGTCTCTGGCCTGTCCATCTTTATTCTAGTTGCTCCCATTCACTCACATGAGGAATCCATGATTGGTTCAAAGAACACAATAATATCTTTGTCATGACAGTGAATGGATGGCAACTGAAGTCTGTTTGAAACTGCCATAGTTTTATGTTCAGCTCCATTTTGTTTTCAGGAACAGTCTTTCTGTATATTTATTATTCAGTTCAATACCGGCTCTGACATTCCCAAAGCACCTCCAGTTGGCCATTTTCTAGCATATCATACTGCCCACTGATCTCAGAAAGACAACACTAATTATGCCAATCACTGACCCCCTCAACACCTACTGAAGACAAAAGAGGATCTTAACCATAAGTCCTGACAGTTGGCTTTGGCATAGCAATACAAACTCTTTTAATTATACTATTTCCAGAGAAAATACAGCCATAATTTCTAAATTTATAGGCAGCTGAAATTGGATGCAAATCTGGGCTTAACTGCACCCTCTTCTGCTCCCAAGCTCCCTTGCTTCCCCATTGGTCTTATAATGTAATAGGCGGGCCGCTTAACCTGTAGAAAGGTGGGTGATGGTGAGGTCAAACCCATCAATTATAGGGAAAGACAGATCTGTATATAACTTCAGTAACCCATATCTGTGAATCCGCTGATCATTTTGACAAGCAATGTTCATTGAAGGTGAAATTTTTTCATCGGATGCTAAGCTTGAATTCTCCAGGTTAGTTACAGGTTAATTGGACCAGTTGATCTGCATATGAGAGAAGGGCACTTTACATTGTAAGGGCTACCTGTGATAGTACATTGTGTCTTGTGATTATATTTTTACTTGTAAAATGCTCTACTTTAAGTCGCACTTTAAAGCCAAAATCCTATATAAATACACATCGTCCTAATTGTGAAGACCGTGTAGAACATTAGAGAAAACAGTTGTTGCCTTGGTAACTGGTGTTTGAAATGTAGCCGGAGTTACCATCTCAGAAACAGCATAATTCATGGGGAGAAAACCTTAAAATATAACAAGGGAAACATTGCATCAATATGCACTACCTAATGGCTAGTAAAATTTGTTATAACAATACAGCAGCAAAGTCAAATATTGTAAACCAACGCATATCCGTTTAACACAAACACAGGAAATCTGTGCTTTATAGTATACCTGTCACAGACCTGGGCAAAGACCTGAACAAGTGTATTCTAGAAAAATACATATGTAGAGTTTGCCTTCAGTGAAAACTGCACACTGGAACAATAGGTAGATCTGCAGATATAGACAGCCAAATGGAGAAGGTTCAGTTGGGCTTTACACATGTAGAAATGCTGTTTCAGTTGCATTACTATTCACTCTAGGGGAAAAGGTTCTTGCTGGAAACAACATCAAAGATAGATCAAGAAGATTTTTTTTTTTTTTTTAATAACACACTTCAACAAACTCATTATAGCTTATTGTACTCTATTCAGGTGCTGCGGACAACGGTAACTCCGTACAAGAAGAAAATTATGAAAAGTCCGGAACTCCACAAGTAGCAATCATCAGCTAATGTTTCAGGGACAGGAATCACCCCTAATGTCACCTTGAAAAAAGGTGTCCTTTGAGGTGCTGAAACACTGGCTATTCCATAATTTCCTCCAATTATTTCTGTCTTTATAACCTGGGAATGCAAGACCTAATGAAGAACTGGTGACAAGAAAAGGGAACATAAGAGATTTGTGTCTTGACGGTAGTAGCTCGAGGTCTAGGAGTCAACAAACCATTATAACATGTGAAATGATGTCTGCCTGATGACTGAGAAGTCCTCTCCCAGATGGGTGATTGTAATCTTTGGTTGTAAGGGGATATGGGGTTAATGCTCCCAGAGCCCTATTTACACATTTTGCTGCCCTAGGTAAACCTTCTGTTCTGTCCT